TCTTCATTCCAATATTTCTTCTCTTCTCTTCTCTTCTCTTCTCTTCTATTCTATTCTATTCTATTCTTCATTCCAATATTTCTTCTCTTCTCTTCTCTTCTCTTCTCTACTATTCTATATTCTCTTCTCTTCTCTTCTCTTCTCTTCTCTTCTCTTCTATTCTATTCTTCATTCCAATATTTCTTCTCTTCTCTTCTCTTCTCTTCTCTTCTCTTCTCTTCTCTTCTCTTCTCTTCTCTTCTCTTCTCTCTTCTCTTCTCTTCTCTTCTCTTCTCTTCTCTTCTCTTCTATTCTATTCTATTCTATTCTATTCCAAACTATTATTCTATTCTGTTCTATTCTATTCTATTCTGTTCTATTCTATTCTATTCTATTCTATTCTATTCTATTCCAAACTATTATTCTATTCTATTCTATTCTATTCTGTTCTGTTGTGTTCTGTTCTGTTGTGTTCTGTTCTATTCTATTCTATTCTATTCTATTCTATTCTATTCTATTCTATTCTATTCTATTCTATGCTACTTCTATTCTTGTTTTATTCCTCTTCTATGTACAGACCGTCCTCCACTTAGGCCCACATCTGAGACCCAAATTCCTGTTGCTAAGTGAGACATTGAAGTGAGTTTTGCCTCATTTGACCACCTTCCTTGCCAAAGGTTCTTAAGCGAAACTGGACGTTTTCTCGGTTCATTTACTTCTTATTGATTTTGGCCCCTTCTGACGGTTCCCGGTTCATTAACCCAGCAGCCGCCTGGGTGTGGGTGCTTTGGCACCTCTGCCAATGAACTCCGGCGCTTGGCAACGGGAAGAGCCGAGTGGGAGAAAGGGATGATTCAGGACGAATGAATCCAAGATAATATTGTTCCCTGCGGCCCCAGGCAAGCAGGACTCTGACCCCAATTTGCCCGAGAAAGCCGAGCTGCCCGGAAGAGCAGATCTTTTTGAGCCGCTGCTTCTCGTGGGATCAAGAAGATCTGGTAGGCCTGCTGGAAACCACCGAGGCAAGTAAACATGGAAGAGGACCTTTCTTTGGAGAACCTGATGCCAAATCCAAGGTAGGCACCTTCCTTCTCCCTTAAGACCCTCTGGTAGGGCTGGTTCGGTACGGTGGTTGAACAGAATACCGGTGGAACAGAGTTGGAAGTGGCCTCAGAGGTCTTCTAGTCCAACCCCGTGGCTCAGGCAGGAAACCCTCTGCCATTTCAGACAAAGTGGCAAGTAGTTCCACTGGTTCACAGAATAATGGGGTTAGAAGGGGCCTTGGAGATCTTCTAGTCCACCCTCTGCTCAGGCAGGAAACCCTTTACTACTCCAGACAAATGATTATCCAATCTCTTCTTAGAAACTCCCAGTGTTGGAGCACCCACAATTTCTGGTGTCAAGTGGTTCCACTGGTTAATTATTCTCCCTGTCAGGAAATTTCTCCTTAGTTCTAAGTTGGTGGGTTTCCATGCGTTGTTTCTTATCTTGGCTTCTGTTCTGGTGCATTAACTCTTTTAACGGATTAACAGAGTTGGAAGGGACCTTGTAGGTCATCTAGTCCAACCCCCCCTCCCTCCCAAGCGGGAGGCCCTACACCACTTCTGACAGATGGCAGTCCAATCTCTTCTTGAAGGCCTCCATTGATGGACAACTCTACTGTGGTTTAGTCCAAATCTCTCTCCTGGGCAGAGAATAGAATAGAAGATAGAATAGAATAACATAGTGGGAAGGGTCCTTGGAGCTCATCTAGTCTAACCCCCTGCTCAGGCAGGAAACACGACACCATTTCAGACAAAAAGTTGTCCATTCTCTTCTTAAAATCCTCCAGCGTTGGAGCGTTCACAACTTCTGGTGGCAAGCAGTTCCACTGGATATTTTTTTCTCATTTTTAAGAAGTTTCTCCTTAGTTCCAGGTTGCTTCTCTCCTTGATGAGTTTCCGTCTGTTGCTTCTTATCCTTTGGTGCTTTGGAAAATAAATTGACTTCCTCTTCTTCTTTGTGGCAGCCCCTGAGATATTGGAAGACTGCTATCATGTCACTCCTAGTCCTTCTTTTCATTAAACTACACATACCCAATTCCAGCAACCCTTCTTTATATATTTTATCCTCCAGGCTAGAAACGGGGAAGCTGTGAGTTCTAGTCTTGCCTTAGGCAGAAAAAAACAGCTGTTTGACTCATATATATTTTTCTTGCAATCGGTAAATCGCCTTTGAAAAGAGAGATTGCCCTCAACTTACAAACAGCGGGAATTTCTCCAGGAAATGGTCAGCAGCTCAAGGGACTCAAAGAGACCCAAAAGAAGAAATATGTCCATGGAAATTCTCCGTCATCTATGTCATGATTGTCCCACAGGTGGTTTTGCAAAAGGCAACTGGACTTTCTTGGTTTTTTTTTTTTTCTTTGAAAACGTTTCGGTTCAGTCAGAACTGAGGAAGCTTTTTGGATGAGAAGTGAAACATTTTCAAGGGGGAAACAAAAAAAAGACAAGGATGTCCAGTGGGCTTTTTGAAAAACCACCTTTGGGGTAAAAGAAATGTTTACCTAGCGAATGAAAACAGAAAGAAACATTAAAAATGAACGTGGTACAATCCTCCTAATCCACATAGTTGTCTGACATTGCTAAATCACATATAAAAATAGTGCATGTTTACATTCTATATACATAATATACAATACGTATATATCTATATCTATATATCTATATCTATATCTATATCATCTATATATCTATCTATATCTATATCTATCTATCATCTATCTATCTATCTATCTATCTATCTATCTATCTATCTATCTATC